GTTGATGATGATCATGATGCTGATGATGCTGATGCTGATGATGATGCTGCTGATGACTATGATGATCATGATTAGGGTGATGATGATGATGCTGATGATGCTGATGATTAGGAGGAGGAGGAGGAGGAGGAGGAGGAGGAGGAGGACCAGAGTAAACTCAAGAGTCATCAACGATGTTGGAATGAACCCTTCCTCCAAGCTCCCTCGTCATCGGCCCCTGCAAGGGTTCATTTCCATTGAGGGAACTGCCTCGTTGGAAGGCAACCGTTTGAAGATCCTGAAGCATGCCAGGACATTGTTCTCGGGATTGCAACGCCACGGATCAACCTGACTGCTGCGCCTTGACGGTGCGGAATCTTGCCAGAACGCCGTTTTTGGATTTCAACACCGCGAACCAACATAACTGTTGCACCCGCATAATCCTGAATCTTTCCGATGCGCCATTTCTGGTACGTTGATCATTCGAACCAGTAAAACTCTTTCAAATGTTTGATACGAATGTGCGCGGCGCTAAGGCGAGAGCCACATTTTGAAAACCACCCGCCCTCAATCCGTGAAGCTCTTGTAATTTTAAAGTCGAATGTAAGCGGCGCTTAGGGGAGAGCCACATTTTGAAAACCACCCGCCCTCAATCCGTGAAGCTCTCGCACCTTTTTTGAAACGAAAGTGCGCGGCGGTAAGGGGAGATCCACATTTTGAAAACCACCCGCCCTCAATCCGTGAACCTCTTGCAAACTTGACAAACGAATGTGTGCGGCGCTAATGCGAGAGCCACATTTTTAGAACCACCCGCCCTGAACCCGTGAAACTCTTGCAAGTTTCTAAAGCGAGTGTGCGCGGCGCTACGGCGAGAGCCACATTTTGCAAACCAGCCGCCCTCAATCTGTGAAGCTCTTGCAAACTTGACAAACGAATGTGTGCGGCGCTAATGCGAGAGCCACATTTTGAACATCACCCGCCCTCAATCCGTGAAGCACTTGCAAACATCAAGAACGAATGTGCGCGGCGCTAAGGCGAGAGCCACATTTTGAAGACCACCCGCCCTCCATCCGTGAAGCTGTTGTTACTTTTATGCTTTCGAGTCATAAATGGTGAGGAACTCTCAGGCGAAACGCCCGGCCCGCCCTGAAAACCGGCCTCGGGGTGCGACAGGGAGAAGTTATTTATAAGGAGCAGGAATGGGGGAGGAGGAGGGGGAGGAGGAGGAGGAAGAGGAGGATGAGAAGGAGGAGGAGGAAGAAAAGGAATAATAATAATAATAATTTTAATAATGCGAGTAATACCAATACATAAAATTAGAACAATAAGAATAATAATTCAGGTGAAGAAGAAGACGAACACTAATAATACTAATAATAATAAGAAGAGTAAACATAATACTAATTGTACCAAGAAGAATATTGTGAAAAAAGCATACGAATAATATTCATAGTTAAAAATAAGACGAACACGAAAAAGGATAATCTTCTCAATCAGAGGAAGAACATTTATATTGATAATGGTAATCAGAGGAGGAGGAGGAGGAGGAGGAGGAGGAGGAGGAGGAGGAGGAGGAGGAGGAGGAGGAGGAGGAGGAGGAGGCGGAGGAGGCGGAGGAGGAGGAGGAGGAGGAGGAGGAGGAGGAGGAGGAGAAGCAGGAGGAGACGGTGGGATGGAGGAAGGATGGAGAGGATGACCGCCGCTTGGGCTTAGCTCGCGGGCCGCCTCCCGCCGTGCGGGGACCCCACACCAAGGCGGCAGCGTGGTCGCCGCCTGCCTCGGCCAGCGCCTACGCGCCGGCGCGTCCGGCGGCGCCCTCCTCCGCGCGCGGGGGGCCCGGCGTCCTGGAGGCGCGGCGGAGGCACTACCACGCCGCCGCCCCGGAGGTGCCGCCAGGAGCGGCCGACACCCTGGGGGGAGAGCAGGCGTCGCCACGGAGCGTACAGGTCGTGAGGGAATCGGGTCCCGAGGTTTTTTCATATTAATAATCTTTGAATCATCATATTAATAATCTTTGAAAGAAGGATAGCAGTAATAGTCATAGCACCAATAGTAGTCATAATAGCAAGAAGAAGTGGCAACCACAAACTTTCGGAGGTCAGCGCGGATTTCTCGGATCGGCGCCGGACCCCTCTCTCGCTGGTGCGTGGGGCGCGCCAGGGGCGGAGCCGGAGGCGCTGCCAGAGGGGCCCAGCGCCGATTTTTATGCAGTTTGCTCTCTCTCTCTCTCTCTGCTCGAGGGGCTTCCGCCACTGCGCCGAGCCCCATTGCAGTGAAGTCGTCAAGAGTCGTGCCACCGAGCCTGGCCTGTGGTTCAGGAGCTTCGGGGATGTCCCCTGGAATGCCTCTCGGGGGACTCTTGGAGGGCTCTTGGAGGGGCCTCTCGAGGGCCTCCTGGGTACCTCTTGGGCTCTTGGGTTGTGGAGGACGATCGATGGAGAGGAGGCATGTTGCTAAATAATTTCAAGATGTCTAGAACACGTGATAAATCTGTTTTAAACATAGAACCCATGTTTTAAACATGTTTAGACAATTTTTCCTACATTTTAAACACATTCTAAATTCAATGATAGGACTGTTAGGATGTCCATTGTCGTGGCATCCACAACTCTTGGGTGCTTCCTGGAAGCCTCTTGTGGCTTTATGCGGTTGGTTGTTCCTCTCGTCGTCCCCTCGTCTGGGCGCGGCTCGGAGGTCTGCTCGCAGTGTTAAGTCGGGCGTGTCCCTCTACAGGCGGAAAATTCAAAAATCGTCAAGAAATAGTCAGGGGACGATTTTGTCAATTTTCGTCCAGAACCCGCCTGCAGGGGACACGCCCGACCTAATTAATCGTAGTGGTCCCTGGGCAGGGGTCCAGGGCCTATTCCTGGGGGCCTCCGGCTCGTGTTGCAGGGGGGGGTGGCGCAGATGGGAGCGCCTCCTCGCACCTGCCTTAAGTCGGGCCTGTCTCTCTACACGAGGAATATCCCCAACATAGTGAAGCAATAGTCAGTGCACCATTTTTCGAACATTGTTGACTATTTTGGTGTATTTTTGGAGGATTTTCAGTTTTTCGCCCAAAATCCGCCTGGAGGGGGACACGCCCGACCTGACACCAGCCCCTCCTGCATCCCACGGGCGCCGTGTGCATCGTCGGGGGGTTCAGGCATCATCAGACATCTCTGCCCAGCTTTGCCACCTGCCGCTCCTCGTGCGCCTGCTACGGCAGCAGCTATCATGAGCACCGCCGCTGCTGTTTGTATCATCACGGCTACTCCTACGTCCTACGATTGTTCGGCTCATTACCAGCCGTTGCAATAGTATCAGTATCATTGGTACTGTCTCTTCCTAAGTTGTGCCTGCTCCCTGATACTATGTATCATGCTGTTTCTACTTCGCACCTGTTACCAAGGGCATGCCACTGAGTACCCTACTCCGCATTCCATGCTGTCTGCTACCTGAACACTACTACCTACGAGATACTCATACTACATGGTACCAGCTCCGCGCTGCATGCAATCTGCTATGGTACACTAAAACATGCTCTGGGATGCTCGAGTCCACTTCGCGACACGCGAGTGCACGTCGCGTGTGTAACCGCAGGCGAAAAAGGAGTCGCGTCTTGCGGGTACACTCGCTCGCCTCCTTTCTGATTGGAGTATGCCTGCGGCGCCGTGCCTTTCTGGAACCCCCGTAGACAGCGAATGTTGCAAGGGCTTGCAGACGTTTCGGGAGAACCCGCTTCTGTGACACACAGCATGCGAGACACGTGCCGTGCTCGGCGATGCGGGCGTCGTCGTCGTCCTCGTCCTCGTCCTCGTCCTCGTCCTCGTCCTCGTCCTCGTCGTCGTCCTCGTCCTCGTCCTCGTCCTCGTTGTCGTCCTCGTCGTCGTCGTCGTCGTCGTCGTCGTCGTCGTGCCTTTGTGTGCCGTGCCCGCGTGCCCGTGCCGTGCGGCGCCCAGGTTCCGGCATGCGACAGCTGTGCGCCGTGCCCGCGTGCCGTGCCCGTGCCCGTGCCCGCGCCCGTGCCGCGCCCGTGCCGTGGCGTGCCCGTGCCGTGCCGGGGCCTCGGAAGGCGAAGCAGTTGCCGCCCGCGTGCCGTGCCGCGCGTCGGGCCGCGCCGTGTGCTCGCGTGCTGCGCGCCGTGCCGTGGCAGGTTCGAAGGAGCGCGAGGCACGTGCCCTGCCGCGTCGTGCTGTTCCGTGCCCGCGTGCCAGGCCCTGCACGTGCCGTGCCGTGCCTGGGTGCCAGAGTGCGGAGCATGTGCCGTGCCGTGCCGTGCCCGCGTGCCGAGCCGTGCCGTGCCTCGGTTCTGGAAGGCGAAAGCGGTGCCGTGCCGTGCCCGCGAGGCGTGCCGTGCCGCGCAGGGAGTTCTGGAGCGAACATTGTTTGGCATCACGATTCGACTGGACGTAAGAGTGACCTTTCGCCGGAGTGACCTTTGATGCGGGCACAGATGGGCCCCCAGATGGCTGAACGCGAAGCGGGAGCAGCGGCTTGCGCGCCTGGATTTGGACTCCCCGCGGCCCCCCCAAAAGCCGCGCACCAAAGGTCACTCTCACCCAGGGTCACTCTTGCGTGTAGCCGAATAATTTGATGGCCTCGCGCTGAAATCGTGTGGGGATTCATGCATGATGGTGCGCGGTCGCTGTGCAAGTGACACACTTTGCCGCGCAACAGCTGATGCAAAGTCATACACGTACACACTTTACGTGGGACACACTCGCGTCGACGCGCGACAACCGAACGGCGGCCACCTTGTTTTCTCCTGCTTGCGCGCTTCCATGAAATATCGCCCCCGCTTTGGTGCTTGCACTGCGTTAGTAGAGCACTCCGCGAAGCGCGCGCGAGAAATGCCTCGAATGTAAGATTGCGGAGTTGAGTTATAACGGGATGGTGATGTGGAAGAAGTGCCAGGGCGAACCAGGTCGAGTCGGAACGACTTCGGTTTCGATTCGTTCGAGCTCTCTACCTTGAATCCCATGTGGGGTCCTACAGATTCCAACCCTCCCTTTCCGACGGCCTGTGCTCTTTGCCTCCCCATGCTGTCGGAGGTGGTTCGGGGGTTCGCCCCGCCCGACGACCTTGCGTCCTTTACCTCCGTCTGTTGCCGCTCGCGGGCTCCCGCGTTGGCTGTTCCCGGAGTGCCGCCTCATTCCGACGGCCGTTCCTCTTCGCGCTTGTCCTGATCAACGGAGAAACATGTCTAATTGGCACGGGTTCTGTCGAGCAGGCGTTGGCCGGCAGTGTTCGAGCTCGGCTCGGCCTTGGAGTTTGTCACGGAGTGCAGCTCAGCCGACACTGCGCCGCAGGTGTTCGTCGCCGCCATCGTCGTCCAGCGGCCTCTCCGCCCCCTGTCCGAGAAGGCAGCTGAGCACCACCATCCCTAGACAGGGCCTATACCCGATCCTGGGGCCCAGAATGGACCTGGCCAGTGCGCACCAGGTTGGCGCCGGCTCGACGCGGCAGCGACTACAGCGCGGGCTTTCAAGGTTGAACTCCACCAGCTGCTTGAACTTGGCCAGCATCCAGCGATTTCGGCTGTCGAAAAAATCGGCGACCGTTCGAGGTAGAATAAGCCACGCGATGCCAGGAGCCAGCGCACAAGCCGCCACGCCGCGAGACTGCCGCAGCCGCTCTCTGCGCCTCCCAAAGCATCTGGCGATGTTTTTTTGCGTGGTCCCAGCGGCCCTGACCCTTCCCTGGGGACAGCTTCTCTCCCTGCATCCACTTTTGATGCCCCCCTCGGCCCGACGACGCGCCCCAGAGGCCGAAATGGAAGAACAACGCCCAGGTTGAAAAAGCAGATGGCCGTTGGACCTTCGGGTCACAACCGGGGCCCTGGCGGCCGTTCGGGGAGCTCCGGGCACTCCCCGGGCGGCCGTTCGGGGAGACCTCGGGGAGGTTCGGGCCCTCCCCCGGCCGCGCAGCTGCCGGAGAGCTCCCCGAGGCCGGGAGGCCGCAGGGGGCCGACGAGCACGCCCGAGAGCCTCGAGCTTGGTGGCGCCCGGCCAGGACAGGGCCGCCGCTCAGCCACCCCAGGCAGCGCCCGGGGCGGAGGTCGGAGGGCGCCAACTACACCTCAGGCGATGCTTAAGAAAACTTAAGTTTTCGGCCAGAGTCTCGATTATTCTTAACGTTTCAATGTAAATCTTAAGATCTTGATAGAAATCTTGGGTTTTTGTTCAAGTTCTGAGACTATGAATTTCTTAACCCATGATTTCTTAAGCATTTCGCAGGGTGTATTCCTCGTGGCCCAGAAGGGGCTCCAGCTGAATCGGGGAAGCGTAAGACTCGAGTAAGCCGGAACTCGGGTCTGCCAACGGTTTTTGACGAGCGCGTCCCGGATTTTGACGGTTCAGTTTTCGTGGGATGTCTGCAGCGGGAGCCCGCGTCAAATTTCGGATGGGGTCTCGTCATTTTTATGATGGCTCGGTTGGGCCCAACCCGAGTCTTCCGTACCCGAGTCTTACGTCTCCCAGACTGAAAGGGGGTGGTGCCCTAAATTTGGAGCGATCGTATTGCAACCGTATTTCGCCAGAGAGTTGTACTGCATTGTATTGGCACTGACGTATTGCACGCAAAAATGCAGCAATGCACTTGCGCCCAGATATGTATTGCACACCCCAAGTCTCTTGCAACCCCACAAATCTATGGCACCAGATCTATTGCACCACCCCCTTTTCGCTGGACCCACTTTTGGGTCAACCAGGATTATACACCTACACCGATCGATGCTCGGTCCAGGATCGGTGCATTTACGCACCTTCCCGCCCAAGCTGGGCAGGCGTGTACACCTACCCTGGGCCCCGAAGCTCCAACGAACTGGAAAAGTCAAGGCGGAGTGTTGTTTCGCAGGCTTCGGCCTCTGGGGGCCCATCTTGCCATGCCCCAGCACCGTCAACAAAGAGCGACTCGGAACGAAAAACCGGTCCCCAGGAAGTGGTCCAGAGACCTGGGGACCCTGCGCTTGGATAAAAATCAATCGGCGGCGAGACCAGGGTGGAAGTGAGAGGGGGCAGGCCTTCTCAGAAGGCGGCGGGGCTTCTCACAAGCCTTCCGGCCTTCTGAGAAGTTTTCTCTGTCTCCAGAGACGGCTCAGGAAACGTCCCAGAAGGCCAGAAAGGCCCGAGGCTTTCTGAACCTTCTGGGAAGGCCCGCCCCCTCTGACTTCCTCCCTGGGCTTGCTGCCGAAGCCAGGCATCGGAGTTCCCTGGCCCAGGATGTCCCTGGCCAGGATCGGTGCACCCTCAGCCTGCCAAAAGGCATCTCTCCTACTGATGAAGGACCCCCCGCCAGCCAGGCCTCCTCGGCACCGGTGCCTTCAGAGTGTGGGATTCCCGGTGGGGAGGAGGCCGATGCCATGCCTCAGGATGTGGCGTAAGTCCGAGGGAGGAATTCATACATGACCATCGCCTGGAGGATCAATTTTCGGGGACCTCGGCAGGCGGTGCATATGGACGTATTCGGGCCCCCAGGGGCCAAAATGTATCCATATCCGCCGCCCGCCGGGGCACCAGGACGTCGGCTCCCAGGCGGTGGATAGGGATACCTCCCCGCCTCGCGGTAGAGCCGGTGCCCTCCCAGGCGGCCCCGCCAGCCCGGCGGCCGCCGCGGCCGCGGTGGCCTCCGACCTCTTCGGGGCCGGCGCGCGCAGCAGCACGGGGGGCGCCGGGCCGGCCTCGGCCTGGGGCGCGGCCGCGGCCTCGGCCGGCGGCGGCGGGCAGAGGGCCGTCACCGCGCCCGGAGGCGCCCCACGGCCCGCGCCCCGCAGGGCCCACGCCGCTCCGAGCTGGCAGGTTCGGTTGGCGGCGCGCCCCTCGGACCCTCATCCTGGAAATGACTTTCGTGGTCGTGAAGACATATGGTGTTTCGATGATCGCGTTGTTGTTGTTGTTGTTGTTGTTGTTGTTGTTGTTGTTGGTGTTGTTGTTGTTGTTGTTGTTGTTGTTGTTGTTGTTGTTGTTGTTGTTGTTGTTGTTGTTGTTGTTGAACTCTCATTCTTGAAGAATAATTATTGTTGATCCCCCCCCACCGGTGCACATTGACTTTTTTCGATTGAAGTGCCACCCCCGGGGCTCGCACCTTTTCTAAAGGAAAGTCTTCCTGCTCAAACTGTGCCCCTGCCCCCCGGGCTACAACAACAACGGCTCCCGCCTGAGACTTCCTCGATTTTTATTCAGGACCCCCGCTCCCGCCTGAGACTTCCGCGCAATTTACTCAGGAAAGGCGCTCCCGTCTGAGACTTCCTCGCAATGTAATCAAGACCCCCGCTCCCGCCTGAGACTTCCGTGCAATTTACGTGGGAACGGCGCTCCCGCCTGAGATTTCTTCGAATTTTACTCAGGACCCCCGCTCCTGCCTGACATTTCCGCGCAATTGACTCAGGAACGGCGCTCCCGCCTGAGACTTCCTCGCAATTTAGTGAGGACCCCCGCTCCCGCCTGAGACTTCCGTGCAATTTGCTCAGGAACGGCGCTCCCGCTTGAGACTTCCTCGCAACTTAGTCAGGGCCCCCGCTTCCGCCTGAGATTTCCTCACAGTGTACTCAGGACTGCGCTCTCGCGTGCGACGTCCTCACAAATTATTCTGGAATTGCGTTTCGGCGCTCAGGAACCACGCACGCGCCAAGGACGCCTTCACAACGTGGTATCTTCCCTCTTCCTTCGTCCTTCCCCCTCCCCTTCCTCCCACTCTCCCTCGTTCTTCCCCTCCTCCTCTTGCAGGGCCCGCGCCAATTCCAATGGCGGGCAGAGAGATGTACGCCCCCGAAGGATTGTCCGCCCGTTCCGGTTTGCCCGTACGTCTAAGCCCGCCGGCCCCAGCAAAGAGAAATAATCCCCCCGAAAGGGGTGTGATCGAAGACGAAGAGGGCGGGTATCGAGGGTGTAGGGTATACGTGTTGAATGACTCGCGGGCAAGTAAGAGCGTACAGCCTTAAAATGGTTGTTGTTGTTGTTGTTGTTGTGGTTGTGGTTGTGGTTTATGTTGTTGTTGTTGTTATTGTTGTTATTGTTGTGTTGTTGTTGTTGTTGTTGTGTTGTTGTTGTTGTTGTTGTTGAACATTATTACTTCTAAAGAATAATTATTGTTGGGGCCCCTGGTGCACGACCCCCCCGCCGCGCCTAGGCCGCAGCCTCATTTTCATCATTTTCGTGAGGAAGTCTCAGGCAAAACGGGGAGTCCGGATCCGGTTGTGTTGTTACGATCGGTTTTCCCTTGCAAAAAATAAGCTAAAGTGGACATTTCTTGTTCTAACATAACCAAACTTCAAGAATCCCTTGCAAAAAATAAGGTAAAGTGGACATTCGCGCGCGCAAGACGAAATCCTTCCAAAACCTTAGTGTTCGTAGCGATTTTAACATAAAAACATCAAAAAACCAATGGTTTTTCAAAAAAAAATGTCAAAATTTCATCCCGCGCGCTCTTGCGGATTCGTAGGAAACCCAACACTTTTTAAACATTTCTGTCAAACGGGCTTTTGCGAGCAACTTTTTCGAACTTCTGCAACAACGGTTGCGCACCTGCCAGGGCCATCATCCCTGTCAAATAATACCATGCGGGACACATTCGTTTTTTCTTCGCGCGCGCACGCCGAAATCTTCAAAAACCATTGGGTTTCTTAGGAATTTTAGCACCGCGCAACATAAAATCATACGAATCGCACCGTAGGTCCTCGAAAAACATCTGTACGAATTTTCAAAATTTCTACCCGCGCGCGCTGTCCGAATCCTAAAAAACCAATGGTTTTTCAACATTTATGTTACATGAGCTCGCGCGAGCTACTTTCGCAAGCTCTGTACCCATGCGCCAGTGTAGTACCCATGCGCCAGTGTAGTAGCCACGGTCGTCCGCAGGCCACGAAGTGAAGTGTCCGAACGTCATAGGGCGGGAAGCTGGGTGTGGGTGGTGGCGAAGAGTCGTTTGGAAATGTGGTAGAGCTTGAACCGGCCCCCCCACAAAGTGGGGGTATTGGCGGGCGTCGTATGAAAACCCTGGCACTGGTGAGAACGGAGTGTCCCCACGTGCTAGTAATTGTTGTTGTTGTTGTTGTTGTTGTTGTTGTTGTTGTTGTGTTGTTGTTGTTGTTGTTGTTGCTTTTTTGTTATTTGTTTTTTGTTATTACATGTACATATATATATATATATATATATATATATATATATATATATATATATAGGTGTATATGTATATGTTTCGATACAAGCGCCGAATGGTCGTAAACAGCACGTGCCAGAGTGGATATCCAAAGTAGGAGCCCAATAGCAAGAAATTACCAGCGGCAAGGTTTCGATTTGCGCGCAGGCAGCCCTCCCAGGCAGTCCCAGCCGGCCTCCACAGGCCCCCCCGAGCAGTCCCACCCACGCTGCCCTCCACGGGCCCTCCGACCCTGAGATCTTGGCGTCGCATGTCTTTTTCACAACGGGCGTTTTTGCCCGGTTTCGGGCCCCGGGACCCTCACAGATCGATCCGGCTCGAACCACGACGCAGAAAGATGGGGTCCCGGGCTCCGGTCGTGATTTTTTTGGCGAGGTCGGAACTTTTTTTGCCACGTCGGATCTCAGGGGAGCAGCCCGGGGCGGTCTCCAGGGGCGCTCCGCGGCCCAGGGTGCCTCCGTAGCCTCCAGCGGCGCCCCTGGGGCGCTCCGCGCCCCAGGGTTGAGGCGTCGAGGCCAGCCCGGGCCTGGGGCACGCCTGCGGCCTCGGCACAGAGAGGCAGGAGGCAGTGATCATGGCGCGTGCCAGGATCTCCAGGAGTTTGCCAAGATTTCCCAGGATGTTTCACACTCTGGGCCTCCCAGATGGGGTCCGAGTGGATGGGGTCAGAAGGTCGCGCCGCATCGCCGATGCATCAGCGATGCGGCTCGATGTGGAGCCCTTGTTTCCCCACGCTGGCGTCGCCGATGCATCGCCGATGCATCGCCGATACAACGGCGATGCGTTGGCGATGCGGCGCGATCCTTCGACCCCATCTACTCGGACCCCATCTAGGAGGCCTCTACACACGGGCTGCAGAAACGAGGGGCGCTAGATACGCTGGAAATCCTGGGACGTATCCTCAGCCACCCGTATGATGGCGCCAGTCTCGTCCTATCGGCCGGCAGCGGGCGGATATCCGTCAGTGCGCCGGAGGTGGCCGAGGACACACACCTCCAGGGTCCACTTCTACCCGGTCGGTCCGATTCGATCGAGATTCCGGCTGGCTCGACCCATTTCGGTTCCGATGTTCCGACGATCACGTGCGGCTTGAGGCCTGCGTGGCGATGATCCGCATCCGGGCGCAGCCGATCCGATTCGATTTCGACTCCGTGCCGATGCAGCCCGATCCGACGCACATTCCGTCGTTGCGCGATGCGGCCGACGACTCACTCCACGGACGTCTTTCAGAGCAGGAACAGGTATCGATACCGCCACCCGTCCCTCGTTTTCGCCTCCTTGGGCCTCCTGGGAGGACCTCGTCGCCACGGCTGACTTCGCCTCTAAATTCTGGTGAGAACGCACCCTTGGAGAGCCCTTGGGAGTAGCGGTATCGGTATCTTTCGGATTTCAACCGAGGAGGAGGCTTTCCGCCACTTTCGGCCTCTCGTGACCAGTTTCGGGTCCTGGGGCCGGCAGAACAAGATCGGCTCTGGGTGAAAGATGCCGGCCAAGATGGAGAGGGTACAGAGGTCTGGGGGCTTGTGCTTAAATCGGGCACGTCCCTCTACAGGAGGAGTGTTCAAGAATAGTACGAAAATAGTCCGGGGACTTTTCGTGCTTTTTCGTTTTTCCCCTCCCCCCCCCCCGCCCCCCCGTTTTTGTTTGTGTGTGTGTGTGTGTGCGTGGCAACTTGTTCCTTTTCTTCAAAATCCGCCTGTAGGAGAACATGCCCGACCCAAGCCTATGCCTCGAACAGAAGCGAGTCGCCAGATCTATAGGGACGCGCGCGTTGCATGCAGTTTCGGGGCTTGGGGCTGGCCGGAAGAGACACGGCTCCGGGCGAAAGAGGCTGGCCACGCGGGAGGGTGTCTGGACCCAGACATCCCGCGTCTCGATTTTTGCGAGACGCGGGCCTCCGGCCTCTCGACCACTTCCCCGGTACTGGTCTTTTATCCCGAGTCGTTTTCTGATGGTCCCGAGGCCGGGGGAGGGCCCCGAGAGGCCGACAATCATAAGCAAATCGCGTCTTTCTTTTTTTGAAACGCTGGATGTCTGGGAACTTCGCGTGCGTGTGCTGGTTTCCTTGGCCATTCCAGGAGGGGACGGGTTGAGTGAAGAAGAGCCTGCGCGGGGCGCCTCCGACGGAGGGGGACCAAGGCCGCGGCCCCAGCCTCGGCCCCCGTTCCTCGAGCGACGCCGCATGCCACGCGCGCGTCCCCCAGACATCTGGCGACTCGGTTTCGTTCGAGGCATAGGTCCCCGGACCTCCAACGTATTGAACAGATCAAGATGGCGTTTTTTCGTCGTTTTCGGCCTCTGGGGGCCCTCGCTGGGCCCCCAGGCCGTCAAAGACGACTCAGGACGGGAAGCTGGCCCCGGGGAAAGGGTCGGGACTTCTGGGGATCCCGGATTGAAAAAAACAAGACATCGGATCTTTGGGCTTCTGTACAGGCCAGCCACAATTGGTTCGAGGAAGCGCAGACGTGGATTAAGGCGCGTGGATCAGCGGCGAGTCCCGTTTCCGTACGACATCGGGACGCTCCATCGCCAAGTCAGGCGGCATTGGCGCCATGTTTCCAGGGGTATTTTGGTACTTCCCCCGTTCTGCGGATCTGGCGCCCACGTGCCAGATCCATGGATCCGTGATCCATGTTAGTGTCCGCCCGATCGACACCCAGCTCGAGGGATCGTCGATACGATGGGCTCTCCCAGGGAGGGTAAGGCCCACTGCTCCCCTAGTTGCGGCTCGTCGGGGTTCCTCTACCCTTCCCGGCCGGAAGCCGGAGGAGAAGATGAACGCAGCGGCGCTTGCTTGCCCAGAGCCAGTCGACGCGTGCGCGACTTGAAACAGATTCGTGTGAGTGAAGACCGCCCCCTTCGATTGAAGCTCATTCCGCAGAATCTGTACCTGCTGACGTGCAGGGCGTCGAAGAAGCAGCAGCAGCAAGCGTTGCGTGACCACGTCACGCCTGCGCGCCAGGGCCTGCCCTTCTCCCTCGCCTCCCGCTCCCCCCCCAGCGCGAGGGCCCTCTGCGCCCAAGGCAAGTCCCGCCTCATCACAGCCAAGCTCGTCCTCTTCGGGGCTGGCCATGCCCCTGGCACCGTGCCCAAGCGCGCACGTGCTCGCCTCTCCGAGGCCACGCTGATACACGTCGGTCGTTGAGGAAGTGGGTATTTTTGGAATCCCAGATCCCAATCTACTTCAATCGCCTTCCTACTTCAGGAATCGATATGCTCATGCTGCGCTTTGTTATTCTCTGGGAGGGCCTGGCCCCCAATCTGCTGTATGCGCCTTCCTGCTCCATGTTTCTGCCTGCTCCTGCTGACCGACGTGTATCCCCAGAGATCCGACGAGGCGACCAGGGCACCATCCTGAAAAGCAAGGCCGGAGCCCCAGAGCCGATTTTTGGGTTATCTGCGGCACACGTCGAGCCGGAGCGAGGTCTGTGGGGGCCCCGAGGCCCGCAGCACTTCGAGAGAACGCCTGGCTCATAGGGGCTGCGGCGCCTGGATCGCAGGGCCTGGCGCTTCGTCTCGCCTCGTCCCGCCGACCGCGAGCCCTCAGGAGGCGGTGCTGGCGTCTCCTCGGGGGCGGCCGCCCGTCGACGCGCCCAGGCGGTGCTGCCTCGCCCTCCGCCGGCCGTCGCCGTCACCGTCGTGGTCGCAGTCGTTGTCGCGGTCAGCGCCGTCACCGTCGTCGTCGCCGTCGTCGCCGCCGTCGTCGTCGTCGCCGCCGTCGTCGTCGTCGTCGTCGTCGTCGTCGTCGTCGTCGTCGTCGCTGTGGTGGTGTTGGTGGTCGTCGTCGTCGAAGTCGTCGTCGTCGTCGTCGTCGTCGTCGTCGTCGTCGTCGTCGCCGTGGTGGTCGTCGTGGTCGTCGTCCTCGTCGCACCCGCCGAGGCCCAGTCGCAGGCGGCCGCCTCCCCTCGGGCGATCTCGCAGACGCCCGACCAGGTCTACGACAGGACCCGCGGGCCACGGGGGGGCGGGGTCGCAGCGGAGCCGCCGCCGCCGCCGCCGCCGCCTTGGGCGGGTGCCTCTTCTTCTCCTTCTTCTTCGTCTTCTTCTTCTTTCTTCTTCTTCCTTCTCCTCCTCCTCCTCCTCCTCCTCCTCCTCCTCCTCCTCCTCCTCCTCCTCCTCCTCCTCCTCCTCCTCCTCCTCCCCCAGGCCCCGATCTATGACGTTTTCCATCCTGGATCTCGGCGTCTGGGGGGCTGTTTTCGGGCCTCGGGAACTCCCAAAGTGGACCTGGGGCGAACAGCTGGCCCGCGGGAAGGGGTCGGGAGCTCTCGGGCCGCAGACTGACAGTCATTCGGCGCGAAGGTGGAGGCCAGCTCCTGGCACTCCCGTCTGTGTGAGAGAATCTCGGCCTTTGGCGACCGAGCATTCCCCGGCTGCTCCCCCAAGGAGTTACCAGATGCTGTGCGCCTGAATCAGCATTTCGCCTGAGAGGTCCCCTGATCTGGGCGCGAGCTGGCAAGTGTAACGCCCCTGATACCATGCCTGCTGCATCGCGGTGATCATACGGGCTCTGAGGGGAGCCTGGGGGAGGCAACGGCGGGCAAACTGCTCGAGACATCCCCTATCATCTTGGCGCGAACGGGCAGGTGTAATAATTACCCCTGGCGGCCCCTGCCTCGGGTGCCCCAATAAATGCCACGCCTGTGGTGTCGCGGTGATCATGGGGCTTCTAGACGCCTTGCGCAACCCCACCAGCCCATCCAGAAACGGTGCCCAGGCGCGCTGTCCTGATCAGGGAGGTGCATGCAGTGGAAGAAAGGGCTGGGCAAGACGTCATACCCAAAGAAGGGGAGGATGGAGAAGGAATCGGAGGAGCAGGAGGAGACGGAGTAGGGAGAGGGGGAGGGGGACGAGGGAGGAGGAATGACGAGGAATAGGCGGATGAGGAAGACGAGGAGGAGGGCGAGCAGAAGAGGCCAGAGGCCTCATGATGCCTCTCGGAGTCTCTTCGGATGTCTTTCGAGAGCTTCTTGGAGTCCTCTTGGGGCATCTTGGAGGTTTCCTGGCAGTCCCCGGGGCCTCTTGGGGCGTCTTGGGTGCCTCTGGGGGACCTCTTGGGGCCTCTTGGGGGTCTCTTGGGAGACTCTTGGAGGCATCTTGGGAGCGTCTTGGGAGCCTCTTGGGGCCTCCTGGGCACCCCTTGGGGCCGTCTTGCAGCACCCTTGGGAGCCTCGGGGGCCATCTTGGGGCCATCTTGGAGGAGATCGACTAAAGGACGGGCCGTACTAAATTAGACCTCCCCAGGAGGCCAACACGTGGCCAAAACCTTACTAAAACAAATGATGGTGGCCAACTGGCCGAGGCCTCTTGGGGCGTCTAGGGTGCCTCTGGCGTGGCCTCTTGGAGCCTCTGGGGGGTCTCTTGGGAGCCTCTTCGGGGCGTCTTAGGGGGCCTCTTGGGGCCTCCTGGGCAACTCTTGGGACCGTCTTGAGGCACCTTTGGCAGCCTCGGGGGCCATCTTGAGAGCATCTCGGAGGAGATCGATCAAAGGAGGGGGGCTCCTTAATTGGGCCCTGCCCCTCAGAAGGTCAACATGTGGTGGCTTTTACCTTAGTAACATCAATGATGGTGGTCTTCTGGCCGAGGCCTCTTGGGGCGTCTTGGGTGCCTCTGTGGGGCATCTTGGGGCCGCTTGGGGCCTCCTGGGCGCCTCCTGGGGCCGTCTTCGGGCACCCTCAGGAGCCTTGGGGGCCATCTTGGGGCCATCTTGGGGCCCACTTGGAGGAGATCTTGGAAATGAGAAGGCCTTCTCCTTCTCATTTCCCCCCTCGCTCGCCGCCGACAAAGGGGGGTATGGGGGCGGGGGAGAGCTTCCGCGGGGCGGAAAAGGGGGGGCTTCCAGCAGGTGAGGTCCAAGGGGGGGTGGAAATCAAAGGCCCCCCCCCCGTTGGCCCCGGCGCCTCGGGGGCCTCTGGGTGGCTCTTGGAGTCATCTTGGGGGAAACACTCGACATTTCAGTTCGTGTTCTCCCTCTTGTGCTTTCGTGGGGCCCTCTTGGGGCTCTCTTGGGCCGTCTTTGGGCCCTCGTGGGCCGTCTTGGGGCCCTCTTCGGGGCCTCACCGGCCGTCTTGTGACGATCTTGTGGGTCTTAGAAGCTGTCAAGGCGAAAAAGGCGAGTGTTCTAAAGTCTCTCGTTTTTCCATTGGAACGCGGCCACTTTTGCCTTTTGGGACCTTCTCGGCGGTCCTCTGGGAACACGTTTGATTCGTCTTGAGGGCTCCGTGGGCGGTCTTGGAGTCATCTTGGGCCCTTGTCGTTGTGGGGCTACTCTGGGCCGTCTCGGCGGTCTCTTCGACTGTCTTGGCGCTCTGTCTGGGCCCTCCTGGGGCTGTTTGGAGCCTCTAGAGGCCCAGGGGGTGCGTTGGCGAGCTCGTCCCCCCCCCCTTCTCCCTCCCTCTCTCTCGAGCGGCATTTTTCGGATCCCAGGGGAGGGGGCCAGGGGGAGGGGGACAGCCAAATGCCTCACACGCCTTTCCACCCCCGGCAAGCGTTGTGGATGCCACGACAATGGCCACCCTTACAGTCCTATCATTGAATTACTGATGTGCTTAAAATGTTTGAAACGTGCCCTTCAAATTTTTAAATCCTGTCTTCTACATGTTTAAACCATGTTTTAAACATAGTTTGGACATCTGGAAATTATTTGGCTACATGCTTCCTCCTCATTGATCGCCCTCCACAAGGCAAGCGGGGGTCGGCAGATGCGGTACATGTTTTTGTGCCACAAGCTGTCGTTCCCCCTCCCCCGCCCGCTCTCGCCAGGAGCTCCGCGGCGGCCCCGCCTGGCTCTGCGCGGGAGGCGCGAGAGGAGTCCATGCGCACCTGCCGAGGTCGCGGGGACCTCGGCGGCCCGCTGTCGGGGAACGAACATGGACATAAGCATGGAACAACTCTGAGGCCCGCGCGGACTTCTCGGCTCGGCGCTGGACCCCCCAGCGGCGCCTCCGTGGGCGCTCTCTGCGCGCCAGGGGGGGGTGTCCAGCGCCGATCCGAGAAATCCGCGCGGACCTCCGAGTTTTTTTGTGCTCATGTCACTGTTCGTTCCCCCACGTTGGGAGGCCCTTCGGTGGCCTTCGGCGGCCCTCGGCTCGGGCCTGGCGATGGTTAGGGGGTGTGGGGCCAGGGCTCATTTCGATGCCTCCGCCTCGATTCGATTCGACGTCGGTGCCTTCCGATTCCGATTCCAGTGGATTCCGATCCCGCTTCGGTCGGGCTTCGGATGCCGATTCGGATCCCGATGTCTCAGCGGTGGCCTGCTGAAGCCTGCCGATCTCCGCCGATGCGACTTCTCCCGCCTGGGCTTCAGATTGCCGCCGCTCCGATTCGTTTCGATCGCCGATCCCACTCGTCGACTCGCTCCTGGGCTGTGCTGCTGTGGGGCGATGGCCGAGGGTCGTGGGCGCAAAACACACACCCGCATCCGCGGCCTCGCGGGCCGGGCCCCGGGGCTGCAACGCCGCGGGCACGGCGCGTTCTTGTCGGCACTGCCCCGCGCGGAACGTGTCCGTGCGACCGCGTATCCGCGGGATTGAGCCCACCCAGACCGCGAAGGCGGGGACGTGGATCACGAGCAGCTTGGCCAGCGTGGCTGCGAGGAGACCCGGGGACGGTTCGGAGGCTCGAGGCCCGAGGATCGGGGTCTCTGGGCGTCTCATGAAGCTCTCCGCCCCCCTCTCCAGATCTCCGACGCTCTGATTTTTCCAATCCCGGCGTCTTTCCTTCATGTTGGCCTCCAGGGGTCGTCTTCGGACCCGGGGACCTTGAAAAGTGGTCCTGGAAGAAACGCTACCCCCGGGGAAGAGGTCGGCGCTTTGGGGCCTCGGATGGACAAAGATGTCCAGGGGTGTCACGGTCTGGGCTGGGGTGTCTCCACGAGCGTGTTTCTTTATCGCTTTGGGCATACTGGGCATTATAGCCCCCCCGGCCACCCCCCATAACGTAACGCCCCTCCCCCCCATAACGTAACGCAACGTCATCGTCGTCGTGCGCGCGGGCGCGGCTGTGGTGCCGGAGCCACGCGGCGGGGGGGGGCGCGTTGCATTATACCTCCTCCCGGCCCTTCCCCCCCCTACAATGCCCACTATCGCCCGAGTAAGGAAACGAGCTCCACGAGCCTCTCGTCGGGCGAAGAGAACTATGCACATGCACCGATCCTGGCAAGGCCGATCCTTGACCCAGGATCGGTGCATATGCCTTCCTGGCCAAGGTAGGAGGGCATATGCACCGATCCTGGGCTCAGGATGGGCCTGGCCAGAATCGGTGTATGTGCATAGTTCTTTTTCCTCTATCTCGGGGGCCTTCCGGGGGCCTCTCAGGGGCCGACCGTCGGCCAGGGCTTCGCCCGGGCAGCGCCGGCGGCTGGCTATACAGAAGACCTTCGCGCGTCGGCAGGCGCCACGGCCTGCGGGGGCCTCGGCGGGCCCGTGCGCTGGGCCTCGTGCAAACAAGCGCTCGGAAGGCCTCGGCCCGCCAGCCCGTCGGGTGGTCACCCGATCTCCGAGGCCGGCCGGGCGCCGAAGAGGCAGTCAGACCAGCACAGAGCGATTTCTCAGGAGGGGAGAACAGTTTCGATGAAGCGCCGCCCTCGTGAACCGTCAGCCGCCGACGGGCCCACAAAGGCGCCGTATCCTCGGTGGTCAGCTGTCAGTTCTTCGTTTTTGTCCGAAGGTGTTGTGTGTAGGTATGTGTGTGTGTGTGCGTGTGTGTGTGAGTGATATTGTTTTTTCGTTTTTTTTTTGTTCGTTTTTCAGGGGGGACGCGCTGATGGGTGCCACACAGCGGTGTGTCATTGATATTCCTCTCCCAATTTCTCCTGGCGCCCGGCCCCTGCCAGCTTCTCCCGCCGCTGGCCTGCTGCCCGACGCGGTCGGGGAGGGTGACGAGCGCCGCGCCCCGATGCGCGCGGCGCCGAACGCGGTCCCCGGCCGCAGAGGCTGCTCTCCGCGGTGGTGGGCACAACAATGCCCCGCCGCGGGCGTGAAGGAACACCGCGAGGCGTTCGAGGGCGGATCCAGCCACGCGCGCCGCTGTCACGACCTGGCCCACCCCGACGCGGACCACTCGTGGATGTGGTGCCTCTTCCACGCGCGCGGGCGGGCGCTCGACAACGACGGGTTGGCGGAGGCCGTCTGGGTGCGCCTCGGCGCAGGGGTGCCGACCGACTCGAGCGTCTGCGGCGCGTGTGGACAGGCGGGCGGTGCTCGACTCTGGCGGCAGCCATGCTTCTTGCTGCGCTGTGGGAGAGGCCCCCCGAGGTCACAACGCCCTGCGCGACTTGCTTTACGATTTCTCCTTGAATGCAGACGATGCCGCTGAGAAGGAGCCTCAGGGGTTGACCTCTTCTCGATCAGCGCTTCGCCCCGCTGATGTGCTGTACTACGGGGTCCTGACGGGCAGCGCGGCGGCGCTGGACGTAGGAATCACCTCCGCCGAGGCCGCGGATGCCGGAGACGCAGCCGAGGTGATGTACCTGAGGAACGCTACGCGGACGAGCTGGCCTCCCATAACATCGTCTACATGCCTGTGGCGTGGACGAACTTCTGCCGCCCGCATCCGGTCGCGCTCGCCGCGATCCGCGCCATCGCGAGGCGGGTCGCCAGGCCACGCGGCCACGCGCCTCAGAAAGTCGTCGTGCGCCAGTTCTTGCGCAACCTTGGCTTAAGTCGGGCCTGTCCCTCTACAGGGGGAATGTGTTCAAAAATGGTCCAAAGATTAGTCTGGGGACCATTTTCGGGGTATTAGTGGACCATGTGGGGGTATTTTTTTTGAATCTTTGTCGTTTCTCGCCCAAACTCCCCCTGCAGGGGGCCATGCCCGACCTAACCCTTGGCGCGGAGATCGCCCGGCGCGCGGGCGGCGCACGAGCCTGGCGTGCGGGCGCCCGT